TATTTAATCCTTGAATGTTGCTGAAGGGTAAGTAGTTTTATCTTAGTGTTCCAGTTGAGGAATGGGCAAGTCTTTTCTAAGAAGCCTCCCCTGATATCCACCTCAGCTAGGAGCACTCAATCTCCTTTTCTCAGAACATGCAGCAATACTGGGTTCTATTTCTTTCTACAGGAGACTCTGAGCTCTGTGTGATAACACAGAATATCTCTTATCCTATATAATAAAAGCGTAGTATGCAAATTGTCCCCTCAACTGGGAGTTATCTGGGAGTTCGACCAGGGTGCTGGGCCAGCTGGGGGAAGAGAGGGAGGCCCCGGCCAGCAGCTACTAGGGACCCTAACAATGTACGAATTTCGTGTATTAGGCCTCTAGTTTGTAATAAAGCAATACAGTGTAGTAGTTCAGAGCATGGGCTTCCTAACCAGATTTCCCGGTTTGATTCCTGGCATGACTTAGACAAGTTTCTTAGTTAATTATTTGTGCTTCAGTTGTATAAAGTAAAATGGAAATACAAATAATACCATGTAAAATGCCTAGTACAGTTCTTGGAACATGGTAAATTCTCAATACATGTTAGTAATCATCATCATCCCTAACACCCAGCTCAGCACTTAGACACAGTATTTACTGAATAGGTGCTCAGCAAACACTAGTTGAAGTAGCTGAATAGTTGAAGAAAGACAGGAACTATATATCCAGGATCTATATTCCTAAATACTATATATAGATCTCTACCTCAATTATGTTTGAGAGCTGATCTAAAAAATATATATTTAAGGAATATAGTTTGAAAATGTTTAATGTTTTTTGTTTAGTTCAGTTCAAGTACCTTTAGAAACTATTATCTCTGGAGAAAACATTGCTTATAATATTGAATCCGGAGCTCTTTTGTTTGTATAATCCAACCTCGTCTGTTTCTGGCCCTGTAAAGATCTGTGGTACTGATACTAGAAGGTCTTAATCATGACTACCTCAAGAATGGTGTTACTGATTGAGTAATAGAAGCACGAGGTTGTAGTGTACATTTGGTAATAAGGAGGCAATTTAATTCAGTTTCACATAAAGGGCTGGGTGGGAGGGTGAGGCTATTGCATTTCTCCAGGCTGATTCAGTTTGGAGGGGAGTGCTCTATCCAGGGAAGATGGCATCTGTTGACGGAGTGGGAGAGGGACTTAGCACAGGTACCTGGTGGCTGTCCCTTCAGATCTTTCCTTGGAGTTGCACAATCCAGTCCTCACTTAACTTCATTCCTCTCTGAGCTGCCCCCCCCCCCCCCCGGTGAGTGTGCTGGCCCTTTAAGAGGGCACCTGGGTTTCTAGTGACTCCGGATTCTCCCTGGTGGACAGAATCCCCACTGGTTTTCACAGCCAGATGTTATGCTTTGAAACCATATAATGAGTTGCTCACAGTAGAGAGTCCTTGGATTATTTTGAATATTTAGACAAGATTAAGGGGTAGAGATTTCAGTGATTACATATTCTACAATTGTGTTGCAGATCATTTTCTAAACTTTTTTGTAACTCATAATTCCTTTTAACAAATTTAAAAATTACTCCATTGATGTAATTTAAAACTAGAAATAATTTTAGTATAAGTAAAAAGCAGCCAAAGCATAGGCTCAAAGCCTACTTTTTTCCTAATTACATGTCATCTTGTACATTTTGCCTTGCATATCTTAAGATGGTAGAGATATTAGCGTCTGCATAATGAAAAATAAAAAAATGAAAGTTTATGTGACCTGAATTGAGTCAGTAAACCTATTTCACAACAGAGTCAGATTAAAATCCAACTCTCAGTTTTAGCCCATTTTACTTGATTCCATGGACCCTCATGCATCACTGAAAACTACATAATGAGAGTAGTGTGCTTTTCTATGTTTGGTTGCTAGAGAGATTTATTGATAATTGAGCTATTTTAGGTTAAATGTGCACTAAAGGATTTTTATAAATGAGTCTTAAGATTGAAAAATATACCTTCAGTGTTTCACAACTTTCTAGTTTTTAACTGGTTTCTAGTTTTTATTGTTTTCCAGTTGGAAAATAATAGATGCTTATGTTTAGGAAAAAAGATGTAAAACTGTATCTGGAAAGGACTTTGAAGGTGATTTAATACTGTTTCCCTTAAAATATTGGTATTACATAAAAATTAGGGCAGATGGCTCACTCCCTTCTCCCCATAAACAGAGACTGGGTGAATGGAAGTGAGTTGCATGAAGTCAAAGTCCTGAGCCCGACTGTCTTTGTGAATGGCTTTTGACTGCTTCATAGTAGGATTATGTGGTTATCAACTTTATACTTTTGAAAGCCTAACTTGGGCTTTGCTTTCCTTGCTGGTTCAGATACTAGTTTCTACAGAATCAGAATAGGCAACCTTTGGAACACCAGGGAGCTCTATCCTTGGCCTTTCTTTATGGCTTTGGTGTTCTTGGATTCCTCGGGTTGTACCAGCATCTTGAAGTGAATAGGGCCAGAGAGTCAAAGATAGAGGGTGTGTAGGATCATTCCATTTCCCTTTTCTGCAATTTACTAAGGTGAAGGTAATAGCTTTCCTGTCATGACATCCAAGATGAGTAATGCTCTAAGCCAGTGGTTGCCAACCGGTGGTCCACAGACCACTGGTGGTCTGTGAGGTCCGAAAGGTTGGCAACCGCTGCTCTAAGCAAGATGCTCACATACCTTTATTTGGAATATATCTTACGTCTGTCTTATCCACGTATGTTGAGCTTCTTAGGAAACTGCATGTAAACATTTTTGTGCATAATCTTGGAAATAATTAAAATTTTAAATTACTAATATTAAACAGAATGCTTTGCATTGGTTATGTATCCATCATCTTTAAAGTTTTTTTTGTTTAAATGTTATACTACTTGGTTTTTATGGTAAAAAGGAATTATGAGACCAGGATTTTACTAGATAAAAGTAGAACAAAAGTTAAATTTGATTTCAGTACTAAGAGAAATTAATGCCTAAAGATTCCCATATCTTATTTATTTGGGAATGGTTTTCAAAATATGTTTGTAGATATTGCCTTGTTCCCCACCCTTCCCACACCCAGAATTATGAAGAGAAATTTGTGCTTTCTAAGCTTCCTTCAGTTTACCCAAACATAGACTGTGTTTGCTTGTTAGAGCTGAGAGTCTTTTGTACTCTGTTTTCCTTTTTCACCAAGTAAGCTTCTTTGCTTTGCTCTCCCATTCATGTGTCATGGCTGCTTTAAGTTGACTTACTGCCTTCTTGCAGCCCTATTTCATGCACATACACTTGAGCAGACACAGCCAGTAAAGCAGTTAACAGCGGAGCAGAAAGGATTGAGTACAAACACACACAGGTGCCATCTTCCCTGGATAGAGCACTCCCCTCCAAACTGTGTGTGTAATGCTGACCTATGATACCGTGTCATGTTTTCTATTTTTATTATCTACTATGTGAAAGCAGGAGCTGAATTAATATTGTGCTTGTGTAGAATGCCTCTGAGGATATGGGATGGGGGAGAGGGGTAGTTTTTCATGTGACTTATCTCTGACATGCTACAGCGGGACTGAAAACACTCTTCTGCTCATCATATACAGAGGAGAAAAAAAAATTCCAAGATTGAGCTTGCAGAATTTGTGGGGTATATTTAGATTTTTCTTCCTGTGTTTTTCTATTTTTCACCTTTGCCTAATTTTGTAAGGTTTGGTAGTGGGGTATGACCCTTGCATTAACAAGTAGATTGAGGTAAGGGAGAAACAGACTGCCACAATGATTCGTATGATAAGGGACTGTTTAAAATCTCCGAGACATCCCGACCCACATTGCGACCCACCTGAGAAACGGTTAGTGAGCTCCTTGCCCATCTCAAGTGTTTAAAAGTAACAGTATACAAATAGCTTTATTCTTATGCCTTTTTTCTGCCATACAAATCTTAAGAACATTGTACCTACATATCCAGAACAGTTGAGTTTTGTCTTCATTTAAAATCTCACCTCAAGAAGGTGAGAAATATAAATGTAGCATGCAGTTGTCCCTTAAGTATCTTCATCTTCTTTGGTGTAATTGTCTCATTTTTCCTTTATGCTACAGTTTAATGGAGCCTGCACTTACGTTTGGGTTATGTCTGGGATGAAACTGAAATACCATCATGAAGCTCTAAGGGGAAACTTGCCAGTACTAGTCTGGAGGATTTCCTGAATGCCATCCTCCCTTCTTCATGTTGCCTTCTTTTACCTTCCCCCCAACCCACTCCAAAAATGTATTACTGTAGAATCCTATTGCTTTTTCTCTTATTTTGTAGAAAAGAAGGTGAAGGGAGCCGTGTGTGTGTGTGTGTGTGTGTGTGTGTGTGTGTGTGTGTGATTTCAGTACAAACAGCAGTTAAATTTATAACATCAAAAGAAATAGCTTTATTTTGTAATTCTGAATCTAAGATTGCTTAGGATTCATTCATTAAGAATCCAGCTCTGATGGATCATCTACGAATTTATTTTTTAATTTTTTTCTTCTTTTTCTATCATGTACGAATTTAGATAATGATGTTTCAAAGTAAAAGGGGATCCTACCTTTTTCGATCTGAAGAGTAGAAAGATAAATGCTACTGTGATTCATTTTTCACTTAGTATACATTGTTTTAAAAATTTGATCAGTTGGCAATGATCAGTGATCTAAAATAGCTTTTTTAGCAGATGTATATTTTATAGAGCAAATGGCCCATATATTGGCGATTCTTTCCATTTTCTCTATATTTCATTCTAAAATTGTTACACACTAGTGATTTAAGGGGACATTAACACTAAAGTAAATGTCCTTTTCCTTAATATTGTTGGCTGTTTCTATTAGCCATTTTCATTTGATTTAACAGTGGTACTCAAGGGTTAAGCTTACAGAGCTGATGCAACCCCTCCTTTTCTTTACAGCAATTTTCATTGGATAGCATTTCCATAGCAACAGTGAGATCAGTGAAACCTGAGTGTTTCATTGATTATTTTTCTCTTCCTTTTTAAATCTATTCTCTTTTCACCACATTTTAGTGAGAAAGCGATTTTTTTTTTAACAAACAGAGCTTATATTTATTTCTGTTCCATAAATAATTAAAAGAGGGTAGAAAAATCTGCCCGTCATTTAAAAATTGAATGTTTCACTATGTATTTAAAAAGCGATTCAGGATTAGGAGGCTGGATAACCATTCCGGCTGTAGCTGATGTTCTCAAATATTCTTGCATTGTTTGCTGGTCTTCTAGGGAAAAGAATAATGTGGAACAGGACCTTAAGGAGAAAGAAGATACTCTTAAACAGAGGACAAGCGAGGTTCAGGTATGTGAGCTATGAAATTCAGTATTCCATTTCTGTTTTAGGAGAATATATTTTAAATGTAAAAAATGAATATATTTTACTATGTGATGGCTGTGATGTTGGTGAACAGATCAAGAAATGTCTATTCTATATGTGATATAAATAGTTGTCTTTTATAAAACGATGGTTTTATGGCCTGCAGAGATCACACTGCAATGAGAAAGCAGTATTTTTTCAGCACAAATTTCTAGTTTTGAAAGTATTTTAAAGATAATATTTAACTGCATATTATACTATTAAAGGTAAGTTTGAATGACTTACGATATAAATATTATTACACCAGTAAAATTAAATGAGTGAAATTGTCATCAACATCGTCATCATCTTGAAAACGCAAATTGCTTTTTCAAAGATGTGAGATTTTGTTAGCTAGGAGACCTGGTATTTTAAAGGACTGTTTTGCATAATACTGGTAGGGTGGGAAATTACATGGAATAATTTAAAATAGTATTTTATAAGTTGCTTAGTAGCCAGGATATCTTAAACTTTGTCATATAGAGATTTAATTTATTTTCAGTAAATGCTATGTTAAGTAACTTCATTTTACAAATAAAATAGAAAAGACAAACCTCAGTTTCTGATTGGGAAATGACACAAAAAGGGGTATTTCCAAACATTAAAAATACAGAAAATTGGTCAGTGTTGCAGTGAGAACAGTACGCATTGCATGTGACCATGTTACTGGGGCATCATTTCCTGAATGCTGCACCAGTACATACAGGAGGTTGGGTGTAAAAACACTGGTAGCAGTTGCCAGTAACAGCTCATGGATGGGATTTCTTAACATGTTATTTGTATGTTGGATTTCCCTGCTTATCTCAGTTTTAAATAGGTAAAAGCTATAAATGGTTAGATTCATTGATTTGTTCTGATGTGGGACATTCACCAGAGATTTTTACCGGGTAGACTGTGATAGGATGGGGGAGAATGATTTATTGAGGGATTGACGAAGAGGCCAGAGAGACTTCTTTTTTTATTTATTTATTTTGGTGGGGTGTGCCCTGACTGGGGATCAAACCTGCAACCTTGGTCTATTAAGATGATGCTCTAACCAACTGAGTTTCCCGGCCAGGGCCCAGAGAGACTTCTTTTTGGAAATTAATGTTCATATTGGAAGACTGCATTTATTACATACACTGGGATTTCCCCAAACATGATGCAGAAGTCAAGAGATCATCACTAATGTTTTTTCTCTTTGGGGTAGTGAGATGGGGGTTACTTCAGTTACATTATTTTTGAGCTTATTAGGAAATGCAAAAAAGTCATAGTCTTTAACAGTTATTGCTAAAAATAGTTGAAGGATAGAAGATAAAACAATCTACAAAAGTTTTCTCAATCTGAAGAAATAGATATAGTTACTGATATAATCTTGGACAGTTTCTAAAGTTAACCAGATAATGTTTCAAAGTACAAAGTTTTTTATGATAGACAATATTTTGTGATTTGTATCTGTCTACATGTTGGTTTTCCCTACTGAATCATTTGAGGATGTGAATTTAAACAGCCAGTTTGAACTAAGATTTTGTTCCTTTTAGGCTAAATGGGCTATCCTATATAATAAAAGTCTAATATGCTAAGTGTCCTGTGTCCATTTAATCAATCAAAGCGTAATAGAATGATATGCTAAGGCCGTTCAACCACTTACTATGACGTGCACTGACCACCAGGGGGCAGACGCTCCGAATGATAGGTTAGCTTGCTACTGGGGTCCAGCCTACTGGGACTGAGTGAGATGGGCCGGACACCGTCCCTCCTGTGGTCCCTCCCTGGCTGGCCAACCTCTTGCGTCTCTCCCTAGCCCTGATTGTGCACCGGTGGGGTCCGTCGGCCTGGCCTGCACCCTCTCGCAATCTGGGACCCCTTGGGGGATGTCAGAGAGCCGGTTTTGGCTTGATCCCGCAGGCCAGGCCAAGGGACCCCATTGGTGCACGAATGCGTGCACCAGGCCTCTAGTCCTTGAATATTTGATTTCTTATAATTGTAGTTTTGTTGTCAGTCAAAATTTCTTCTTGATTTGCTTATCCTTCATTACTTAGTGGTGACGGTAAGGTATATGTTAAACCTTAAGTTTTGTTAAATCCAGATGTTTGATTAGCATAGGAAGTCTAAATTGTTGAAATTTTGCTATAAATAAAAGGCATTTTGGAGCATGGTTGGTACAGACCAAGTTGTTTGTAATGGTCAAACATAAGTTCACTGAAAAAGAACAGTGGATTAAAACTTTGCATTAGTAGCCTAGCCCATGTAGCTCAATGGTTAAGCGTCTACCCATGAACCAAGAGGTCACTGGTTTGATTCCAGGTCAGAACACATGCTCAGGTTGCAGGCTCCATCCCCAGTAGGGGGCATGCAGGAGGCAGCTATCAATGATTCTCTCTCATCATTGATATTTCTATCTTTCTCGCCCTCTCCTTTCCTCTCTGAAATCAATAACAATATATTTTTTAAAAACACAATAACTTTGCATTAGAAGATACATTACTTATTCTATTCCAATACAGGTATTGGAATAGAATAAGTATTATCCATGGTAATGAGACACTAGACTAAGATGACACGGATAATTGACATCTAGAAATAATTAAAACTTTTCATTTTAGTGATCGTTTTCAATTTTCTGAAGCACAAGACAACTTATCAGAAGTGGTAATATGTAGAGTTCATTACCTATTGAATTAATAACTCTGATTTACTCATTGGTAATGAGGTACAGACTAGTAAGAACATGGATAATTAAAATCTGTAAGTAATTACAACTCCTAGTTTTTATTTTTTAATTTCTCTGGCAAATGGCAGTTTACGGGAGCTATTTATTAATCAGTAGCAGAATAAAAAAATGTGAACTCTGCTTCTTTCTGACCCAACTTTTCTAATGAAGATGCTAATGAGAAATGCCAACGTAAAGGCCTCAGGGGAGAAGTAAGGGAATTTTTACCTATCAGTGGGTGTCTGCCTAATCCAAAATCCAAACTTGACTTTTCTGAGTGTTCTTACCTTTTTCCATATGTAGAGTCACAAATAATCATTATATGAACTCATATCTTAAGCCAGAAACCAAACTTTCAAAGCCTCTTTAATGTGTGACCAATGTGCCAAAAGACTATTTTTGTCTGTTTTGGATTTATACAGTCTTCCTAATTCAGTAAAATTAGAAAATCTACTATATAATTAAATTTTTGTTTCCTGTCCCATGAACTACATACTGAAAACTTTCAGTTCAAGATTTTTTTTCTTGAAAACCAAGTCAACTTCAAATTTAATTTAATAAGTGTCTCCCAGAGTAATTGGCACCAGGTAGAATTCAGTAGATGTTCTGATTAGTAGTAGTATTACATATCGTACTGTCGTCTCCTTATTACCTTCCCTTCATTGTCAAGCTCCACATCGGATTATCTGCACTTAGGACTTACCAGTTTGAAAATACCTTTATTTATTCCTTTATTTTTGCTTTTGCTGTCACTTTAGCTGCCAACCTACTTTTTTTTTATTTTTGTTGCTTTGTGTGGCCATTTTTTCCCTTTCTATCCTTTCAGTAACCCTATTTAGTCTGATGTGCTTTAATTTTTCTGCTCAGGACCAACAACAATATTAAGGTCATATTCACTGGTTACTGCTTTCTTGGATTCACTCTCCTAGATATTCTCCTACCTCTCTGACCCTTCGCTTCTATTGACTTTGTCAGGAACTGACATACTTTTTCCTCCCCACGTCCTTCTTTTTCTGTACCCCTTGCCATCCATATACTGATGACTCCCAAGTATTTATCCAGCCCTCTATTCTCCTGAGTACCAGAATCATCTCTCCACTTAGGCATTTTGGTGTTTATCATTTCAAGGTCACTGTATATAAAATGAGTTTCATCTTGTTGGGGGGAAAATACTTCAATTTTGAACTTTCCTATTTCTGCCAGTGCTTTTCGTTTTCACTGCTGCCTCTCTTATCACCTAACATGTAAAAATTTAAAGTCAGAGCATAAGTGCTTAACCCATCCTCTTGCCTTTCTTCCTAAACTAATTTTATTTTTAATATTATTATTTTTAATCCTGAGGATATGTTCATTAATTTTAGAGAGAAGGGAAGGAGGGAAGGGGGGGGGGAGAGAGAGAGAAAGAGAGAGAGAGAGAGAGAGAGAGAGAGAGAGAGAGAGAGAAACATTGATCCGTTGCCTCTGGTATGCGCCCTGACCAGGGATTGAAATCCCAACCTAGGTATGTGCCCTTACTGGGAATTGAATCTGCAACCTTATTTGGTGAATGGGACAGTGCTCCAACCAGCTGAGCTACCTGGTCAGAGGGGCAGCCGATCAATGTTTCTCTCTCACATTGATCTCTCTGTCTCTCCTTTCTTCTCTCTAAAATTAATTTTAAAAAAGACATTGTTAAATGTACTTTTAAGGAAGCCATTGGCAACAGAAATCAATAAACCTCAATTTTGTGCATGAAATTAAAAATGGGTCAAGACCCACTCAGAATCTACAGATAGGTTTGGTAGCACAGTACATCATGAAGAGTCAGACTTTTTCACAGCGTTCGTACTACCCTCATGCAAAAGAGGCTCTTAATTATTTGTACTTTATCAGTAAAAGTTAAGTAATTCATAGTAACTGTCCTTTTTTTTTCACTTTAATTCAGAGATTGACTTATTTTGGGTGGAAATCAAATTAGATACATGAGCTCAACATTCTTTTTCTAGTGATTACGCTCTTAGAACATGCTGGGAAGCATATGATTGGGAAATAAAGTCAAGCTGTTAGTGAGATTTTTCTAACACCCACCCTAGTTTCTGTTCCTTGACTTAAACATCTTGCTATACAGTTGGTACTTTTTTATATTAAGAATACTTCTGTAACTTCTGTTTTGAGAATTAGGCCAACATAATGAATGTATCTAATTATTTTTAGTTTTGGTTTAGTTTATAGAGTTTTCTAACCAGTTAAACATAAATAAGTGTGTTATACATAA